GATACATAGAGGTTAGGGTGTAGGAAATTCTTCAGGGTGATCAGCCGGATGAAATGATTTTCCTAGATGTAGGTTAGGATGTCGCCTGCATACCGTTTGTACAGCTTTACATCACCGGTGTTGGATGCAAAGGATTACCTATAGCAACACCGTCGATCTGCTTGTGCCCCGTCCATCCAAATTCAAAACGTGCGTTTTTTTTGTGCACAGTGATCCCTCAGACACTCCAGTGGAAGGCCCGCAGAAACATTCAAAATGTTACTGCCTAACCGGAGTGGGGAACTGTTAGTGAAGGGCGAAACGTTCGATATTCTGTGCACAGAAGCAACTGATGCAATCGGTAAGACTGCCTTTGTTGTGATCGAGCGATATTAGACATTTCAGTTCAGTCGAACAACTATACTCCGAGCACCGAATTGCGGTGGATCCAGTTGCCATGATTCACAACGCAATAATAGTAAGAAATAACAACGGCAAGTTGATAGAGTTGAATGCAAACGGAATGTAAAGAAATTGGAGGCAAGGAGGAGGTGCGTTAGGCTAGTCAAGATGGAACGCGAATTAACAACCAGATGCACGAAACCGAATGCAGGAACGCCATTGACTGCGCTATGTCTGAAATAGTGTCCGGCCATTAGTGTGGACCATCCCGAGGCCCCCATCCACGAAGACGGCACGCATCAACCTGACTAAGTCTCTCACTTAACTTCTTCATGCCTCTACAACACGTCATGGACTGGTCACTTCGCGGTTTCGCCGAACGTGGTGTAGACACGGCGTATAATGCTCACAGAGGAAGACCGTCAACGGGTATACGGAGGACATGGCTTAGCCAACGTAAGCGACCAAGATTCAGTAAAAACGCAAGTAAGGTATCGAAAGGCTTCTTGTTTAAAACCAACTGGCGGACTTCAGCACTGCTCACTCGGTGTTCCCACCAGATGTGAACACTGCTCCGCAAGCACCGATGGTCAACCATGGTCAAGCGTTTAATGTCTTCGCCGCGAACTAGCCAGGTCACCGATCAATACAGTAAGATCTGCCTTATCGCAGCGTTATACACCCTACCTCTCACTGACTGGCTTACGTCACGTCGTCTCCATAGATGGTCGAGCACCTGGAAAACCACACGGGATTCGCTGATACGAGAAGTAACATCCTCAGTGATGTAACCACCAGATGTGACGCGGTTACCAAGATAAGTGAACCGATCCACCGCTTCCAGTGAGAAATCTGGAGGCAATGAAAATAACGCTAATACCCCGATGGTTTTCGCACAAATTCAACTGTCTCTTCTTGAAGATAGGCACGACAGTTGACAGTCACCAGTCTGAAGACACCCCTTTAGTGTCCCAAATAGTGCTGAATTGAGCAGTAAAACCAGTCGAGTCACATCCATCTTTCAGCAAAGATGGAAGAAGGTCGTGGGGTGCAGGAGCTTTGTTTCGTTTCAACATGGAAAGCTTATGTCGAATCTCTTCCAAAATGGGAGTTGTGACATCTATTTCCCACGTCGGCTCAGGCAATCCGGCAAGCGGCAGCGATGTTGCTGAACTTCTCTACAAAATATTTCACCGAACAGTTTAGTCGATGCTGCTAAGAATGGATCAAGTGTCCATCTATCTCATCTATTGTCTCACTAACTGATTATTTTCTCGGACCCGTGTTTCGGTTGCGCTAGAATAGCACTCGGCTGTTCCCAACAGAAGTGCTACGCACAGTTGCCGATATTGATCACCATTGTCCGTTCGGCGTGCATCGACCCCGATGCGGCCTCCCAAGTGTTGTTCAGAGTTAGAAAGGCGACCCACTTGGGCATTCATGTTCCTATCAACAATCAGGATATCGGTAATTTTCGCTATGCGTAGAAAATATGAGATTTCACGACAGAAATCGTCTTTGATACCCTATGAACTGTATTCATTAGGTGCATAAACTGAGGCGATGGGAAGGTGCCTTGCTTTCAGACAGTGCTTAGTAACCCCAATAGAGATTTGAGGTCGAACCGCACACATGCGACTGTTCACCGGCATCCAGTCGGGTAGTTTGATTCCAGCATTTTTGTGCAGGTACTACCAAAACCGTAAATACCTTGGGCCAGTGAGTCGTAATAGACAGAGACGCGAAGAGCAGTCATTGTCGTCAGATTCAAAACCAGGGAGTCGAAGATTCGTCACAACGCTGTTGTCTTGCATGCGTGTTTCGGAGATACAGCACACATCAATACCAAGAAAGTGAAGAGTGGAAGTCAGTGCTGCCTGTTGACCGATCTGATCCGAAGTGCGGACGTTAAAAGAACCAATGTGAAATGAGACTCGTGGTTTGATGGACGAGTTAGGAGTATCGATGGTGGAAGCTGCGAGGTCAGCAGCAGATTCTTGCTCAATAGACGGGGAAGAAGAGAGGTAATAGATAAGAAGAAGAGGGCGTATTGTCGAAGTGGTCGAGTGGGCAGATGATTCCGACCGTCCATTCCGAGAGGCTTTTGTTCGAAGTGCCCTATCTCTAGCCTTTAACTCAACAGTCTGACCCACAAAGCAGTGGGAGATTTGGAGGTTCGCTTGTGGACTCCATCTAGAGCTTTTGGCTCAGTAGCCTGACCCACAAGCAGTAGGGAGCAAGTCCAACTCGGGAGCATGATTGCAGAGACCCATTGGGATCCGTTCGGGACTTGTCATACACAGCCTTTGAAGATTTGGAACAATTCATATATGTTTTACGTTTGTGTTATGTTACGCACTTGCGAACACGGCCAGCCGCAGATGGGGGTTGGCGGGTTTGCACCAATTTGATCAGGGGCTGTCTAGCTTGAGGTGGGTGGTAGCAAACCTTTGAGCACCAGAAGGTGCTCTCCAACCGTCAGAGAAAATGCGTCGCGCTCGCACTCCATGCCAAATAAGCTGTGAGCTTGTAACCCGTAGGCCCGTTGTCTCCCATGGTTAGGTTTTAAAGAAAGTAGGCCATCAATCCCTACCTTAGCTCCGAAAAGGGTTGATTTGTGAGACTGAGTTAGTCTGACCCCTATCCATTGACCTGTCTGGTATGAATGGCTCTGAAGGCACTCGGGAAGTGCCACCCAGCCTAGGCCAATGGATGAGAAAGGCACACAAACCATCGTACCACGTTAAGGTGCAGTCACCTTGCGATATTCGACAGTTACCACTGAAGCTTATCTGTGTTACTAGGACTTTTACATTTTTAATTGCGTGTTTTTCACGAATGTGCTGCGTTGCGACTGAAGAGGGTAATCGAAACGTAAATATCGCAACTTATATCTTCTTATTGCATTGCTAAAGCGTTTAAAAGAGGACACAGTGTTTCTAATTTCTGCAGGACAAATTGTCATGATAAATCACACGCATACACACAAGGATGGCGCTTAGGTGGGTTTGCGATGGGGTGACCGAAGTTTCACAGAGGATTTTCACAAGTACCTTCTGCTTACATAGATAAGGCTACCTTAGCTTATTGGCAATGGCTTCAGATGTCGTGGGGACGCTTTTTCCGAACCCTTTGAGTATCGCTTTAACGGTCACGTGTTACGCATGCCAGCCCACCGCCTCCCGCGACGTGTATTGTTTGCGCGCCGGGGGTGTGGATAGAAGAAGAGGAGGGGTGGCCAAGCGATGACTTGGTCCAGAGGAATGAAGGCCCTCACTTCTGAGCTGGCCTCGGTTGGAGCGTTACGGCTCCCTGGTTGGGGTCCAAACGACGATGAACACGTTTGGTTGGACACACTTGCTGATATGGCTAGGAGCCGACCTCAGTGGCGTTCGTGCTGTGGGTTTCTTTGTCCCACCCCATCCCTCTTAGCCTCCTCCTCCAACCACGATCTCATTATTTAGCCTTATATAATCTTGCATAATATTTTTTTTTCTTTTTGGGTGCACAGCAGCCTGCTGGTAGCTTACCGGAACGATGCCCATCCGTTACCGGTAGCTCAGCCAGCTTGCACCAGTTGCAATTTTTGTCTTTTTTCTATGTATTGCGGCACAGTAGCTGAGGTGTTTCCCACCTCTAGCCAACGTGTATGATGATGATGATGGTGATGATCGCTTTAACGCAACGCAGTTGACTTTTAAGAGATCTGGGGGCAAAATTCGCTGCCAACATTAAATCGAATATTCTAGGATTCAGTGGTTGATACTTCTGACCGTGCATTCCCGTAACGAAACTTGGTAACGTTCAGTTGCTCGTATCCGAAGTATTTAGTACCACGGGTGCAGGTGAATTACCATGGACTGTGCGCCTATCTTTGAGCCGTTAGTTCTCAAATGAAACGAATTCCTCAGAAACGTATGAGTGGACGGCTCCGGAGGTTTGCAGTGTTGCGATCGAAAGCTCTTAGTTCGACAACTTGAAGATGATATCTCCCTTATGATGTAATGGGGGAATAACGTCCTCCACTGATACAATCTTGACTACTAATTCAAGCAGTCATGGCTTATATGGGGTGCTTTATAATTAACGAGATTGGGCAACAGTTTTCTTTCAGTGTTTTGAGAATGCGGTCCTCTCCGTCTTCAAATGTCCCCGGGTTGCGAACTTTGGTGGTGCGATAACACAAGCAGTAAGGTAGTTTCCACTTGTACCAGATGGGTAAAAAGCTGAGAAAGTAAGTGTATTGGTCTGTACGTTTAGTTTTCCGAATATCTCCCTATCGAGCCATCTTCTTTTAAGCCTTGTTAAACGTTCGGGAGTTAACTCATTTCCGTTTTCAGTTTCATAAATAGCATTTAACGATGGATGTGCGCCTTTGAACTGCCATCGCAAACGGACAACATCAGTGTTCGAATTCGTTAGTGTTCGAGTTAACTATTGATTAAGATATCGGATTTGCTATCCCAATCGAATTTACGCGACTTAGCCCATTCATCACCACATTATTGTGTTACTTCAATCCTTCCTATGAAATGAGATATCCGGTAAAAATTGTCGAACCAAACTTGAGTTCTTACGTTTCTGTGGACATAACCAACAATTCTTCGCTTCCATTTCAGTCTTCCACCAATCCGGTTCAGCTACCGAGCTCATCCACATTCCTCAACCGAAGCGATTCCGTGCTCAGCTCGTGACGCCGCAGAAACCTCTAGCTTCGGTATTTTTTAAAATCTGGTTACAAATGATATACCCCTTCCAGACTGTACATACCCGTTTTCAGAGTTTTATCCATTTTATAGCCCCGAATATAAATTTGTTTTTTCAAGCCATCGCTTCTCCTTAATCTCTTCTGTTGCCACTATGTCGGTTGGTCTTCGGGTCTGAACAGTGCGCCAAGGCATGGCTTTTAACGCTGATTCAACATGCAGGGCGTTCCATTGAGATTGATTTTGTCGATAATTAATTCTAGATAGTATCAATGGCATTACTTTGCTACGGTGACTTTCGCATCTGCTAAGCGGCGCTTTTACTGACGCAACCACAAAGGGTGTTTTGTGCCCGTTGAAGATAGCGACCAGATAGGTCTAAATGAGCACGTTCGAACTACTGGTCACCGTTCGCCCGTGTCCCTTTGATTGGGGCTTTGCTCCAGGTTAGAAAATCACTGTCAATATCGGCAGATTTGCATGCAGCGAATGTTGCATATGTGCTCCAGAATACTTCATATCTTCTGGTCGATAGGGTGCCTATGAGTAGTCCACTCGCGTCATGTACTGGCCGTTTATTTCATACTGACAGCTGCAAGACAATTCGACGGGTGTCACTGTCACGGAGGCGAAACAGCCGACTACGATGGTGCACACTAGCGGGGTGAGATCGGCCAGATCACGTGAGCGGCTGACAGGCTCGTTGTCATGGTCAAACCGGGACTTGACCAAATCAGACCGTCGTCGCCGCACGGGTTGCTGTGTTGCGGACATGATCCTACCTACAGTCAGAGAGAGACGGCCGCTACCAGAGTCGAATATGTTCAGACAAGCAGTGTGACTCACCTCAGTGATAGAGGCGAGGTAAGCGCATGTGACCTATAAAAGTAGCCATGCTTTGTGCCTAATATACTTCGGTTTAGCAGGCCCTGCGTTTTGTTTTCCCCGGCTGGTTGGTAGTGCAGAGAGACAGAGGCGAAGGGCAGCGTTATAACAGTCACGTGACGTACTATGAACGATAGGGTGATCATCCCGTGGGTATGTAATGCGCGGCTGGTGGAAAAGCTAAGTAATGGCCATGCCAATTTGAAATTCACTTCAGAACTCGAGCTGCATGCATATTTACTATATTTGGATGCTCTTCTCATCATTCACATGAGTAACGGATCAATCGGATGGTCTTTTTACTGTGAACTGACATGGTCCAGACGGCACGTGCATCTCCTTTGTCACACCGAGAGGGAATGTATTCATATGAGTGATCACCTGACTGAAGAGCCGATTCACTGGGAGTAATCATCTGAGACAGCTTGTCGAAAGGCGCAACAGAGAGGAATAAGAGAACCAAAGAAATGGTCTGAGTTGAACTTCCACCTGTGTGCTGATGACGGATACATATCAACTAACCCATTGCATGGAGCAGCTATCGACAGAATCAGAGCACAGGCTGTGTACATTGGCAGAAAACCATACAATAAACACCAAGCTACACCGAATCACGTGGTCGTCAAGTCAACTGCCTAGACAGAATCAGCGTGATTCTGAGTCCTGTGGTAAGGAACCATCTGACCATATAGTGCTCGTGCTTACACCACCAGATTCCACAAGTATTTCCATTCAGTATACTTTACCTCATAGCACAATCGCAATGAGACTGGACCTTTCCGTGGGGCGATGGTTTGTGTGCCTCAGCGATTCATTGAGCTATGCTGGGTGGTGCTTTTTTTCACCTTTAGAGGCACTCATACCAGATTGGTCAATGGTTAGAGGCCAGACAAACTCACCCTCCTAGTCCTCCAGATTTGGGGTTGGAATGAGGATGGCTCCTTACTCCTTAAAAAGGATTCCTTGTAGCCCGACGCCAAGCCCGCTGCTTTGCGGTCAGGTTTTTGAACCAAAGGCTTTGGTTGAGAACCCTAATCCTTCTCCTGTTCAGACCTGGGCAACCTGACAGTATTCTGCCCATGCAATGCTATGAATCTTTCCTTAAGCAACTTCTTGATGCTTTGGCCACTGCAGAGGATAATCATCGGTGCCATATCTGTTGCATCGAGCAGGGTGGATAGGGATTTGGATGCAACTGCTCAAGCCTCCCGTCTTCTTATTCCGCCTCTTACACTTTTTCACTCTTACCGTCCCGTTCCAACTTCACTTTTATCCCCCCTGTTTTCAACCCCCCGATTCTTGGCCCTACCCCAACATGCTTTGCTAGGCTTTTACCTACTAGTTTCAACTCACATGTGAACGCGGAGCGTCACTCTTGTCCTGTCGACAAGCCCATGTCCAACCAAGCGGCCAAACCTAGTTCATCGACTTCCATTGGGAGCCCTCGATCATCCTTCAGATTGACATGCGTCAATGTACGTACATTGCTACAGATCGGTCAACAGGCAGCACTTGCCATAACATTAGAGACCCTCTCGATCGATATCTGCTGCTTATCGGAGACCCGCCTGCAAGACTCCAGCTCTGTACTCACTGTGCGATCCCCTTCAGGTGACACCAGCAGCACTTTCTCATTGGGCCTATCCGGTAACGATGTAGCTTCGAGTACCGGCCAAGCCGGTGTTGGTATTGCTCTGAGTCCATAGACTGAAGCTGTTCTGGTTGACTGGATTCCAATTAGTAGCCGAATGTGTGCGATCCGATTGGCTGGCTCGTTCAAAGCTTCGAAGTCGTGCGGGACTAACATGTGTCTATTCGTCATCGCTGCCTATGCACCCACAAACTCTAGCGATGACACGGTAAAAGACGACTTCTATCGTTAACTGAACGAGCTTCTTCGCCACAGAAGGAGTTCGGACACTGTTGTGCTGGCTGGGGATCGGAACGCTCAAGTTGGAAATTTATCCACTGATGAACTGCATCTGGGTGGTCAACATGGTGTAGGCTCCCGTAATGATAACGGTGAGTGGTTACTTCATTTGTGTGATGATACTCGCTTAATTCTTGCCAGCACTAATTTCAGATACAGCACCCGCCGGAGGGTGACTTGGCGCTCACCAGCCTCAAACCAGCTATGGACACAAATCGATCATCTTGCGATAAGCTACCGAAGGAGAGGCTGCTTTAAGTACTGTCGCTCGATTTGGAGCACAGGTGTGGACACCGACCATGCACTTGTATTTACTGACCTGCGGGTGCGTTTTGGCAGTTATTAGTGAAACTATGGGAGCAGGAAACTGTCCCAACCGACTGGAGCAGCTCCGTCATAGTCCCAATTTTCAAGGGAGGCTCACAATCGGAATGTGGCAGCCTTAGAGAAATCAGTCTGATCTTCATCGCTTCCAAATTGCTTGCCTCTGTCATCCTTCACAGAATGACTGCCACTTGGGAAAGCCATATTCGTGAAGAGCAAGTCGCGTTTCGTCGAGGTCTTGGCTGCATTGACCACATCTTCCGTTTGCGTTAGTTGTTGGAGCATCGTCTACTTAGGAATGGTGTACCTGAGAAATATTTAACTATTATGCGAGTACTATACACGCGAATGTCAGGCAGATTGAAGGCTTACAACAAGCTGTCGTCGCCCTTTAATAACTTCAGCAGTGTGAGACAAGGATGCCCGCTGTTACCTTTCCTCTTCAACTTCGCTATTGACGAAGTCACGGAAAGCGTGTTCACAGGACACGACTTAGAAAGTGTGGATCTGCTTCCAGGAGAACGACTTTTTGACAGAGTATGCTGATGATATTGCCCTAATCTCTGACAGCTCCCAGACGTGCCAGGCGGCGCTGGACAGATTAGCACTGGCTGTCAGCCGGTTCGGGCTTTGCTTTGCACCATCGAACTGCAAAGCGTTCCTCCAAGATTGGCCTGGACCGCCTGCTTCGCTGATCCTTGGTGGGGATCAGCTAGAAGTCGTTCAAAAATTCAACTACCTGGGAAGTTGTATCAGCGCCCGTTGGATTGAAAATGAGATCACGAACCGTATAGCAAAAGCTCGTTTCGCTTTTGCTAACCTTCCCCACTTATGGCGGTGGCGCGACAACACCGTCGCCCTGAAGGTTAGTGTGTACAGTACAGCGGTACGTTCGACCCTACTGTACGGTTGTGAAACCTGGCCCTTTAGATCAACGAACATAGAGAGGCTAGTTCCGTTCGACCACCGGTGCCTTCGCAATTTAGCTCACATCTGGTGGGAACACCGAGTAAGCAACGAGCGTGTTCGACGCCTTGTTTACGGCACAGGAAAAGGAAATGAACCACTCAGCACCGTTATTTCACGCACCAGGCTCCGATGGCTCGGCCACGTGTTACGCATGCGGGCCCACCGACTCCCGCGACGTGCGTTGTTTGCGCGCCGGGAGTGTGGATAAAATAAGAGGAGCGGTGGGCAAGAGATAACTTGTTCGGGGGGAATGTATGCCCTTACTTCGAATTTGCCTTCAGTTGGCGCGTCTTGGATCCCTGGTTGCGCTGGATACACTTGCTGATATGACTAGGAGTCGACCTCAGTGGCGTTCGTGCTATGAGTTTCTTTGTCCCACCCCATCCCTCTTGGCTTCCCCCTCCAACCACAATCTCACTATTTTGCATTTTATAATTTTACATACGAAATTACTTTTCCTTTGCTGCATAATAACCGGCTGGTAGCTTACCGAAACGATGCCCATCCGTTAGCGGTAGCTCAGCTGGCTTGCACCTGTTGCATTTTATTCCCCTTTTTCTTTTAAGTATTGCGACACAGTAGCTGTTTCCCACCTCTAGCTAACGTGTATAATGTATGTATGTATGTACCTCACAGCACCCTCTAACCCTACACCTCCTACGATCTGTTGGCCGTTACTAGAATAAGTCAAGACCGATTGTTTGTCTCGAAAACAGCTGGCTGACAAACCTTCTTGTCGTAATCGTAAGATCAGCTCCATTGACCTATATCCAGTTGCGATCCGATGAATCGTGTAACCTGGCATAAAATGAAATTCTCTCGTATATTTCTATTATGCTGCTGAAGAAATATAGGATGTATTGTATGCTCACACTCACTT